AAAAAAAAAAGGTTTGAACACTCACCAAACTGATAAGTTTGACAAAATTCTCTATGACCTTGAAAAATAAGTCACATATTGTTTTGTCACAAATTTTTCATTCACAAAAAGAATCATCTTCCCTGAGGAATGAAAAGAAATAGTAAGGACTAACCTACACAAAAATTTGACTGCAATAGCAATGAAGAAATAAGTTCTAAAGAAAAAAAATGTTGAACTAGCTGCATGTGTAAACAATCTAATGAGAAAGTCATCAATTTTATTTCAGAGTAATTACTAAGTTTCCACATATTAACCTGGAACAGACAGTACCATGGGAGAACTATTGCAAAACACGTAGTTCTAGAACAGCTGTTCTGGTTAATTTCTGCATGCAGGCATCAATTAATAGTTTTAAAACACTACAGGGCGGGGGGGAACAAAATCCAAACAACTATGACGGGATTTCCACCCATTTTTCCAACAGAAAAAACGATGTTCTGACGGAAGGAGCACATACTGGACACAACTCTGCCACTATCTCTAGTCGAACATAGCACACCCTCCAGTGGCCTGTTTACTGAAAGAACATGCAATCAGAAAATAAACTTTGCAGCTGTTTAGCAGAAATCCCACTAGGAGGTTGTTCATGTGGTAGAAAAAAGGGACATCTTTCCAATGCTCTTTTGCATTTCATTATTTAGGCAAAGGGCTGCAGTTTCGAGCCAACTAAGGGGAAGATCCCATAATGCAGCACTTTTTTTTTTTTCCTTTCTCTTTTTTTCCTCTATGAGTGGCGACTTGGCAAATGTGACTCTTGTAATATTTCCATCTACTGCACTTGGACAGCTGATGCAGCTGAGCTTCAAGAATGGATCTTTCATGATTTCTTACACCCTGGAAGAGAACTCTCCAAACAAGAAAGTGAGCGCCCTCATAAATTTGGAGATCCACCCTTCAGGAAGAAACTATCACCTTGTAGCAAATCACAGTAGTGTCAAAGGACCGTTAATTAAACTACAAAGCTTTAACTGTTGCGGAAACAAGAAATATTCACGATAATGAACATTAACAACTGAAATAGCTGAGTACAGATTTTACAGACAATAACAGGGCACGGGTCCGTTTTTCTCTTTGGGTGAAGTTTGAAAAAAATGGCAACAGACCAGAAACAACTTACCACATTGTGAGCTTCATCAAGTATTACCACAGTCCCCTTCAGGTCTAAGTTGTGCGCTCTCCGGCTCTAAAAGACAAAGAAGAGAACGAGGGAATGGACAGAAAGGTCACAGAGAAATATAGATTCGATTGACTGAGAAATTGGCTCATGAGACAGATTTGGGGTTTCATGTATTTTGAATACTGGGGGGGTGTTTTATTTTTTCAGAAAACAGAAGTAATCACTGTGGCTACCTAATATGTAAACCACAGAATTGTTTTCTCTGGAAATGAAGGTGATAAAATGCATCATGTAAAAGTTTATGGAGGTTACAACTTACATTGTAACGAAGAAAAAAAAAAAACCAAACAGTTGTACCATACTAGGATACACAAGTTTATCAGAATTAGTTTCAGTCACTATTTTTGCCAATAGGGATCCGGGAGGAGTGGGGTGCGAAGCAGGGGGATTTGCCTTGTTTTTACAAATTAATGCTTGTGTCGTCTTTGCAAGAAGTGGATGCTCTGAAAACACCCCCGACAGTACCAGATCACAGAACTTCTTCATAATGCTTCTTTGCTTAAGGCGGTCAGAGATTTTTTAAATTTTATTTTATTTTTTAATTTATTAAACATTTGGTCTTTTCACCTTTTGTAGCAGTGAAATGTAATCTGGATTTTACTATAATTCATGAATTACTCCAAGTTGCATGAAGACATCAGCAGATTTGTTTCCTCAACAGAGTTTTCAAAGGTTTCATTTTCTACCCACGAAATATGGACAACTTATTGCAACAGCTTTTTTTACAAAGCCAGCAATTATTTCCAAGAGAGATGTCCAATCTCTACTGAAAACGTTTCCTTATTCTAGAAATCATGTAGCTGGCTGCAGAAACAAAAATGTCTCAGAATGCACGCAAAAATATTGCGTAGTAGGTGACTGAAGATTTGTATCCAGGAGGTGAAGTATCACCAAACAAGGGCATCACATTCTGCAAAGCTAATTCTATAAAAATAGCAAGACCTCAAACAAAAAGAGAAAATCTTTCTTAACTGTGGGAAAGAAGAACTTTACAGAGAAAAAACACAAAAGGGCATCCTCTGTGGTTCTGAATTTGAACTGGGTTTTGATTAGTTTTGAAGTATACCACACAATGCATTCACCAGCTATGCATCAGTTCTTCACAGCTTATCCACTAAAAGCCAATATAAGAGAAACAGAAGAACACTTGCATTTAAAAGCAAAGATATATGTTACCTTCGAGTCTAGCAAATAGTTGTAAGGCATAAAAATAATATCTGCTTGCTGCTTCAGGCTTCGAGAGAGATAATAAGGACAAGCTCTGTTTAAAAAAAGTAGTACAAACTATAAAGTAATACTTGCAGAAATATTAAGAGTGCATTCATGTACTATGTTTCATTCTCAAGGGTTTCTAATCAGCTGCTTAAGGAGTTGAAACTGGCACGTTTAATTTTAGGGCGGATGGTTAGCTCTATTCACACAACACAAGTAAAAGGAAGTGTAGAAAATAATACCTAGCTGTGCAGCTCAACAAAACAAAGGAAAAAGAAATTCAAGGAGAAAGAGCGGCATTCGTTACTGCATTATCATTTCACCCCTTTAGGCTAGAAGTAAATGCTGCACTAGACTATTTTATCTCAACAAATCAGTCACCTCATCCCCTTAGATCTGAAACAAAACTGCAGTATCATTTGTCATGTCAGATGATATTGGCAGCCTCTGCTCGAGTGAGAGATAAAATATTGGTGAGCCTGACTCTGGTCTGATTCAGTCTTTACATAAATAAGGACTGAAACAAGTTGCTGTATGATGAAAGCTGCAGTAACAGAAGTTAAGGCTTTAGTGCACACGATTTTGTTGGAAGCTGTCTCTGCAATGTATTTAGCCACTCCACTTTGCTCTCATCGTTGTTCTGCTACTTTAGTGTATGTCAAGTTCACACCAAGGTATTAATAAAAATAAACAGATAAATAGTTTTCACAAGTAAGGGGGAGGAAGGTCGGAGAGGAACATTTACCTGTGCTTGTTTCCATTTTTAACCAAGTCTTCGATATCCATGATTGAATCAACGAGTTCTTTCTCTGTACTCTTTTCTGTGAAAAATTAAACATTACAACAACAACCTTAGGTAAAAGTATCAGAAAGATTTTTTGTTACCCCAATCATCACAGTCATCCACTTAACATTTCATTCTCGAAACACATGAATGCAGAGCAAAACACACACACGCGCGCGCACAAGCAGACTCTGCCAACTCTTTCAAACTTCTCTACCTGCCTAGCAAATCCCTCCCTCTCCAAAAAATAGGGCTGTACTTCCACAAAGTGAAAGCCAAACTCACCTTCCACATTGTTATAGAAATGACAAGCACGAGCCATCACTTTCATTCGGCACATGTAGATCTGTAAAATATAGCATGTTTTAGCTAAGAGTAGCACAGCCTGTCAAGCACTGAAAAGCGCGGTAAGGCGTGAAGAGCTATTAGTTTTCTGTAACACCAGCTAATGATTAAATGCTAATCACAGTTCTTCAGTTTTAAAATCATGTGTCCCTCTGTCCACCTTAAAAGTTAGGCTCTTTTATGCAGCACAGACCACTCAGATGCTCAGAGGAAATTTTGTTATATTTTGCCACTAATGTCTTTCAAAAGAGTAATCTTTGGCATTGCTTGTAAAAATAACAGGTAAATCGATCACTGAAACACTGTTTTGAAATTATTGTTGCCCTTAAAAAACACTTAAGTGGCAGATCAGAAATTAAACTGCAAACTATTAACTCTCTCTCGTGTTCTACACAATGACACCCTTCTCTGGATGGAAAATGCTACCAGAGACACAGAATTAAATTTTGCACTCACAAAACTAGAAGCTTAAAGTTCCTCAAAACACATTTAGAACTACTATCTTTCCCTACAGCCTCCAGTAGTTAAACAATGTCACAGTTAAGAATTACACACCACACGCCACAAGAAAAAGCTCCACGTTCTCACTGCGCATGCTTTCGAGGCTCTGTTCTCACCTGCATGTGGTTGCTCTCCTGTCGCTTCACTTCAGGATTGATGCAAAGCTGCTCTCTGGAACCCAAAACACATATCTTTGGCCTGTTCAAACAGAATACACAAAACTGATGTTAAAAATAAGGCAAGAAAGAAGAACACAGTTGTACATGCCTGGGTTGGGTATCATATACCAAAAGCAAAAGGTTCAGGAGAAACAGATGAGCCCCAAATAAGGGTCAGAACCAGAAACAGTAAGCAAGCTAGTCTGTTTGCAACAGCTATATATGTTACTTGACTTCATGGTACTGTATTTCTCCTGGTAGCAGTGGGTGGTAATAAGCACCAGTTTACAGCAGGAGGTAATGAGTAACAGCTTACATCATCCACCATAAAATCTGGATTCTGACAGTTCAGCCAAATAAGCTGGGGCCTGTCATCTATTACAAGCTATTCCAGAGCTGACTGTGATTTTCAGAGCAAGGTTATGACAAGAACTAATGCGTTGCAAACATTCACAGTCATTTTTTTTGCTTATTACAAGGCTGTATCTTTACAAGAAACACATAAAGAAATGACTACTGCCTGTCCAAAGAGCTCAGTCAACACACTGGCATGTCAACAGCCGAAAACTGTGACAGACATTGGTACAGGAAAAACACAAAGTTCTTCATAGATTTACATCAGCTTAAGGAATTCAACTTTGTAATGGCTTCCCACTGCCGTAAAGAAATGCCCCAGGAAAAAAAAAAAAGGGGGGGAAAAAAGGAAAAAAAAAAGGAATTTTAGAAGTAAATGTGTGAAAACGTGTGACGTAAAGAACCAAAACCAGACCAAATTCAGGAAATTCTATGATTGAAGGAGATAAGAGAAGCTGTGAAGCATGAAAACAAAAACCCCCAAACTCAACAACAAAGAAATCCAGGTTCTATACGTGCACGTTAAGAGAACTACATTTCGGTGGTGTCAGGTTTTTATACATTCATCCACATAAATTCAAACAGTAACCAAACGAGATGGGTATCTCCACCTTTTCTTTGAATAGGAACATTAACCTAAATCATATTTACCTGTAGACTGTGTTCTTTAACTCGTTAATGACCTGTGTAAGTTGTGAGTGAGTTCTGGAAGCATAAATTATTTTGGGAACGTCAGTGTAATAAGCTGCCAAACGGAGGAGAAAAGAAAGCAGAAAAACATTATTAGCATGGAAAGAAGAACTAGAGGTATTATCAGCCTCCTTTCCCAGCTGGTACTATGGTAACAGTTTGCCTGGTAGAGACAGCAAGAAATTTTGTCATCTAACTATTCACACACAGGAAATGAGCTAAATGAGTTTCTAATGTTCTAAGAAAATTTAAAAATACGTAAAACACCTTTAAAACCTATAAAAAGGTGTGAAACTGTGCTTCAGCTGCTAAACAATGGCTCCACGACTTTTATAACTACATACTTACAGAAGATAGATAAAAGCAAACGTTCATTAACATTCCTGTATCGCTCCTACTGAGCATAAAAATCACAGTACTTACTTGGGATATCGGCATCTGTGGCAGCGTTGCCCCAGGATGACATGGGTCTCTCGGGAAAGAGCTCCACTCCATTCATACGCTGTGCAATTTTGCGGGCTGAGATAGTATCTTTAAAGTGTTCCCGCCAAGCCAGAGTGGAACACAGCAGGCAGAGGGTCTTTCCTGTGCCTGTAGGGCTCTCCAAAATACCGTTTACCTTCTTTATTGAAGAGAAATGAAATAAAAAGGGAAAAAAATGAGCAATTTGGAGATTCGACTAGAACAGGTCTTTGTGCAGTACTGCATTTCCTCAGCAGAAAAACAATCTCTACCTGGCAAAATCTACCATATGACAGAAACACACACACACACACCTCCACATAAGGTTGTTACAAATGCATGACCTGTAGGACCCTCTAATCAACTTAGTGAGGCTCAATCTAAAACCAAGAGCCAGACATTACCCTTTATTTAGCAGAGGAATTCTCCACTCTTAGAGCAACTAGAATGCATCACATTTCAGCATAAAATACATGAAAATATTAGAAGTTACTGGGGGGAGAGGGGGAAACAAAAACAAAACCAGAAAGTGACTCTTAGATTACAGACTGCCAGTTTCCTTTAGAATTAAGACTATATCCCACATCACAGTTTATGCAGAAAATTTTCCAAGCACTTTTAAACACTCAGTCCTCCTGGATGTTACAATTATAAAGTGCATAAAAATACTACATGCTGCAGAAAAACTAGCAGCTGAGCTTGTGCTGCCATGACAATTCGTGTTCAATTGTATTGAAAGAATTTCTATATATAATAGGCTTACACTACTTTTAGTTTAAAACAAGGAGGCACCAAGCAGGAACCAAGCCACTGCCCGTGACGTGGAGGAACGCTGAGCCACGTGGAAGCCAAAGCTTCCACAATAAGGCGGT